AGAACAGCGCTTAACGCATGATCAGAGACGGCCAGGTACATGTAGAGTACTTCTTTGGGCAAAGGGCTGACCAGCCTCGGCAAGGAATGCAAGTGAACTTTCAATTTCTGGAAGGCGGCCTCAGCATCCGGCCCCCATTCAAACCTTGCCTTTTTCTTAATTGCCTGGAAAAAGTATAAGCATTTGTCGCCTGATCGGCTTAGAAATCTTCCCAAGGCCGCCAGACAACCTGTTAACTTCTGAACCTCTCTGATGGTACGAGGCGAATGCATGTCAATGACCGCCTGCACCTTCTCAGGGTTCGCCTCTATTCCTCTCTGATTGATAAGGAATCCGAGAAATTTCCCAGACTCAACTCCAAAGACACATTTCTTGGGATTGAGCATGACATGGTGCCGCCTGAGTGTGGCGAAAGTTTCTCGGAGGTCCGACAGATGATCTTTCTAAAGTTTAGTCTTGACAATCATATCATCAATGTATGCCTCGACGTTTCTCCCAATCTGATCAAAGAACACAGTGTTTATCATTCGCTGGAAGGTAGCCGGGGCATTCTTAAGACCAAACGGCATGACCGTGTAACAGTATAACCCCTGATCAGTGACGAAGGCCGTCTTCTCTTGATCTTTCTTCCATAAAGGAATTTGATGGAAACCAGAGTAGGCGTCCATAAAGCTCATCAAAGCATGGCCGGCTGTTGAGTCGACCAGGTTATCAATTTTAGGCAGAGGGTAACTGTCTTTGGGGCACACCTTGTTTAAGTCTGTGTAGTCTACACACATTCGCCAGATGCCATTCGGCTTTTTAACAAGCACCACATTTGCAACCCAGTCTGGGAAGTAACATTGCCGAATGAACTCTACATCAAGTAATTTTTTAACTTCGGCGGTTGCCGCCTGACTTCTTTCTTCGCCATGGTTCTGCTTCTTCTGCCGTACCGGCTTCTTTTTCGGATCCACGGCCAGTTTATGTACCGCCAGATCAGGACTAATGCCTGGCATTTCATGGACTTTGAATGCAAAGATGTCCTTGTATTCTTTCAATAGTTTGTGAAAGTCGTCACCTAGGACTCTCAGAGCAGTCGTCCCAACTTTGACTATTCGGTCAGGACGTGAGTCGTCTAGGATCAGGCCCGTATGCTCACCAGCTGGCTGAGGGCGGAATTCATTCGACCGCTCCTCTGCCAATGATTGCTATTTTCTGTCTTTTCTTGCGGCCCCTGTCTGGGATGCCTTTCTCTTCTTGCCGCCTGCTCTTTGAACAGGCGCACTCTCCTTGACATTGTCAAGGTCTATTTTTCCACCACTCAACCCAGTGGCTTTAACAGTGGGCTTGACATCCGAGAGATAGCACTCTCGGGCCATCCTCTGATCTCCCCTTAGGGACCCGACTGTCATAATCCCTCTCAAACTTGAGCAACATAAGAGATGGGATTATAACAGCCTTGGAATATTTCAGGGTTGGTCGTCCCAGAATCATGTTGTAGGCCGAGAGTTCTTCTACTACTAGGAACCGGACTACCATGTGTCGTCCTTCCCCTTTTTCGCCCAGGCGGATGGGTAAATCCACTCGTCCCACTGGGTGGACGACTCCTCCTCCAAACCCTACTAAAGGGTGGGATGCCGGATGTATGCAATCAGTCTGATATTTTAGTTTCGACAGACATTTGCTACTGATGAGATCTGAGGAGCTTCCGGTATCTATGAGGATTTGGCCAACTCTCTGGTTGGCCACTTTACATTCAATAACGATAGGGTCGTCATGCGGCCCTCTTACCCCTCCTAGATCTTCTTCAGTAATGACAATCTCAAGAAATGAATATTTGGAGGGCCGTTCTTGGTGAACGGAATTTACATCTAATTGCCTGATATTGTCTTTGTTGCCCCTAATAGTGGGGCCGCCTCCTAAGAAGCCGCCTGCAATGGTGTAGACGACTGCATCATCTGTATCGGAGCTGTCGGCCTGTTGATTCTTTTTGGCCGACTGCTTTTTTGAGGAAGTGTTCCCCATAGATTTCTGGACATAAGTGTCAAGATCACCTTGCTCAGCCAGGCGGTCCAGATACCGCATGAGACTGATGCAGTCATTGGTGTGATGACCAACATCTTCATGATAAGCACAGAATTTTTCTTGGTTCCGGTTGTTTGCAGAACCCTTCATGGGGACCGGCTTCTCAATTGAGATCCTTCCCTTGATTTTATTAGGATAAACTGGTTATCCTTGTTAAACGCATACTTTGGGGAGTATGGTTTGAATTCTTTTTTCTTTTTCTGGGCCGGCTGTTTAGAGGAATCAGCCGCCCAGACCTCTTTTCTCTTCTCATCTTTGTTTGACGACTGTTTCTGTCGTCCTTCTCTTTTGTCGGACCTTTTCCCGTCCGACTGTTTTACCGTACAAAGATCAGTCGCCTGTATATAGGCTTCCGCTTCAATCAAGGCCTCTTGAAGAGTCGCCACCCTCTTTCGGACCAAATCAAATTTGAAGGTCGACCCGTCCTTGAGACCACTGAAAAAGTCAGTATAGGCTACTTCATCCGGTAACCCTTGAATCTGTATTCTCATCAGGTTAAACCGCCTGATGTAAGAACGAAGCCCCTCCTTCTCGCCCTGCTGAATTGTTCCTAAATCAAGGGTCGTCTTCTTCGCAGGGATGTTCATAGAGAAGTTGGAGGTGAATAAGTAAGCAAGCGTCCTGAAGCTATTTACACAACCAGTCGGCAGGTTGCCGAACCATTGTTGTGCGATTCCTTTGAGAGTCGCTGGGAAACACTTGCACCAAGTGGGATCATCCAACCCTTGAAGGTACATCAGGTTGGTGAAGGCCATAAGATGGTCTTCTGGGTTAGTAGTGCCGTCATAGGCGCCTACTAATACATTTTTCACTTTGGCCGGCTGAGCGGCTTCAGTAATTTCCTTGGAGAAGGCCGACGGCTGTTCACCAAGTCTAAGCAACCGTAGCTGCCAGTCCATAGGTTGGACATTTTTTGCTGCATGTCCACCAAACAGAGGTGGCTGTAAAAAATACTGTTGTTGCGGCACAAACGGTAAGTTTGGTACCGCCTGGTCGCTATGAAAGCCAGACTGACGGGAGGTGCCGCCTGACTGACTCTCATGATACGACTGCGTATGCCTCATTGAGGTATTTCGCAGACTGTCTTGGAAGTTTGAAGTAGAGGCCGACTCTGACAATCGGTCACTCTTCTTCTGCTCTAGCAGTAGCCGAGCGTCTGTGTATGATTTCCTCGACCCGTCCGCCTGAATATGACGAACAGGTTTCCTATTTCCTGGAGTAGGAAAACGGTATTTTGTGAAATCAAGGGCAGTCGGCTCCCGCTTCCTAGATTTAGGATGAGGAGTCGCCTCTCGCCCTTGAACTGGCTTCCTCTTCAGTGAAGTGGAAGGTTTCTTAGCCGACTGCTCCTTGTCCAGAGCAGGCGGCTTCTTGTTGATCAACTCTTGAATTTCTCCCTTGAAGTCCCTCATAAAGGTCATGAGTTCGTTCCTTGTGATGGGAGCAGACCCATCAGTCGGCTGCTGCCGAACAGGCGGTGCGCCTGCTGGCTCACTTCCAGTTTGAAGATGTTCCCGTTCCCTCCTTTCGGTATGACGGGTACGTCGGGCCCTTAGGGTCCCGTCTGAAGCTGTGTGAGCTTCAACTTCAAATTCACTCTCAGTATCGTGGTCTGACTGAACTTGAGGGTCGTCTAGGGGACGCCTCTCTTCAGGAGTCGGTACAGACTTGGATGCCATCTCAGAAGTACTCTCCCCACAGACGGCGCCAAATGTTTCGGGGTTTTCTGATGTCCTGCGGGAGAGTTAAAATTCCGAGACTGGAACCAGACGCCTGTACCTGCAAAACAACGGAGACTCCTGGTGGTGGGAGCTCCGCCTCCAACGGTCAAGTTAGTACTTGATTAAGGAGTAATTAATGCGGAAATTAAAGTGATTGGGTCTTTCTAGGTGAGAGTGTTTAATGTAGGTAATTTGCTTTGTTAGCGTGATCAGCCTGTTATCTCTGTAATCTCCCCTTAATGAGGATTAAGGGAGGTATTTATAACCTTGGGAAACGTGCCAATCCTAGGTTTAGGTTAACCTAGGGCTGATTGGGCTTCCCTCGGAAGTTGGGCCTGGGTGGCCGGTTTCTCCTTTAGGCATAGAGTATGCCACGTGTCATGACATAATAGGTCCAAGGTGGACGAATAAGCGCGTGCCACGTGGCAAGCCTTGACAGTTCCAACTGGGGGACACTTGGCAGGACCTGATTGGCCCACGTGGCGCATTCCGGTTGGTGGGAGCAAAATCCCCTAATCACCTTCCATTCTTTTCATTAATACACTTTAACTTTTGCACTATTCATACACTGTCATTTCACTTTTCTTTTCAATTTAATGTAAAGAAAAAAAAAAAAGTCATGTAAAATCTTGTTATACAGAGTACCAAAGAAAGAGTTGGGCCTAATAATTAGAATTAAACTTTCCAACCTTGAGACTGGGGTTCAGTCCCTACCAAGGATAACAATTTCACATTTCCAAAATTGTTAATGGTTTGGGTTCGTAATTGACTTGCCTTTAGCGTTGAAATAGAGTTGTGAAACAAGTATGTCAATATATCTTTGTTGAGATTGTGTTGTGAAAAAAGTATGTTATTATACTTACTAAGATTAAGTTGCGGTAAAAGGACTAAAGAGTAGGGCTGGCAAAATCTGACCCGACCCGAACCCGACCTGAAAATAGCGGGTTGGGGTTAAGGTTTTCGACCCGAAAACTTAAATGGGTTGACACGAACCCGACCTGATTTTTAAATGGGTTAGGTTAAGGTTGGAAATCCTAACCCGAAAATGACCCATGTAACCCGAAATAAAAAAATCAGATCATTATAGGTAACCCAAACTCATTTAAGTTAACAAAAATATCTATTTATATATAAAAAAAACCCAAAGAAAACCTACAGCCCAAATCAAAATGAGCCATCCTATTAAAACCAAAAACCCTAAACTTTCCCTTTCTTTTTCACTTCACTCAGCCGCTTCTCACCCTTTCTCTCTTTAAAAATTTCTCTCTCTTAAATCCCTAAACTACTCTCTAATCTTTTTCATCCCCTAAATTCCTCTCTAATCCTTGGATTTTCATCAATCTATACTTCCTGCTAAACACTTCACCTTCTTCTCAACATCTACTTCATCATTTCAAGGTATTTGTTGTTTTATATGTATTTGTTTTATGAAAAATACGGTTTGGTCATGCTAAAGTACAGTTTTATATGCTAATAATAGTTGTTATTTTATGTTAAATTGTTGTTGATTTGTTATGATTTCTGTTGTTAATTGTTGTTTTGCATGTTTTTATACGAATTTATCATGCTAATTAATATCAATAGTTGTATTTATACGGTTTTACATACGAAATTTTGTTCTTAATTATTGTTTGTGTTATTTTTTATGGCAGCAAGTTGCGGCTACTCAAATCCATCTTTCTTTACAGAGAGGAGAAGATTCATTCCACTATGGAGGGTGGGCATAACCAAGAGAATTGAAGATTTTATTTAAATCACTATAGCTTTTGAAATTCAATTTGTAATTTGTTAAGTAGACTACTTGGTTTGTAATCTATTAAGTAGTTTTGTTAGACAATTTTGTTTGGGTTTGAATCTCTGTTTTGCTTGAGAATTTAAAATGCAATTGAATGAACTGAAAAAAAAAATAATCTTTTGAATGAATAAATCAGATTGGCTGGGTTGATCCAACCCAAATAAATCAACCTTTTTTAAGACCTAAAAAAGTTTTGGGTCAAATCAGGTCATTTTCGGGTTGACCCGAACCCGAAAAATTCAGGTTCAGGTTGAGGTTTTCAACCTGAAATGTTAAATGGATCAGGTTCAGGTCAAGGGGGTAGCTGACCCGAAATCAGCTGACCCGAACACGAACCCGACCTGATCCGATTGCCAGTCCTACTAAAGAGGGAGTCCTTGTTAATCTCCTTGTAAACATTTCATTTACTTTCTCCGTTTTTTTTTTTAATTATTGCACCACACAAGTTGGGCATAATAATTTGGAAAAATTGTAATTATTAATTCCAATTTTGGCCTATTTACTTTCATTAATCCCAACTAATTAACTATCCATTATTTTTTAATAATCCCAACTTTTGGGGGGCATTTTCTTTCTCAGGTCAACTATCCATCATTTTCTTTCATCAAGTCAACTTAGGGCTCGGCTGGTTCACTTACTTTTTTTTTTAATCATTTTTTCGATTTTATTTTTTAAAACTTTGATTTAATTTTTTTTTGGACAAATCACGTGTTGACACGTGTCCAATAACCTGGTATACCTGATAAAAGAAAATGCCCTCCAAAGTTGGGATTATTAAAAAATAATGGATAGTTGGGATTAATGAAAGTAAATGGGCCAAAGTTGGGATTAATAATTACAATTTTTCCTAATAATTTTGGTAGTGGGGAAAAGGAAGAGAGAGAAAGGTAAGAGTACAAATGTGTTCATGTGATGTAAACATAAACTACAAAATAAGTGTGAAAAAACAAGGATATGTTGGGTATTTGGAGTATGAACAGATATATTTTTTATCTTAAAATAGAATGGTGCAATATTTGTGAAACTTCTTTAAAAGACAAGTGGTGCAATATTATAAGAACGGAAGAAGTATTAATAGATAAACAAATTAGATTTTGGAGTTGAAAAGGATACCATTAGCAGTTGTACTTTTACCCTAATTTTAGCAACTTTACTCATTTTAATTCCAAAATATTACACTTTCGCCCAATCACCCTAAGTTTATCAAGGAATTAAACTTAGATTCTCTCATGGTAAAAGTATGAGAATTATCCAACTATTATTCATACAATTGTGTCTGATGCTAAATATACGTGGTGAGATAATGTGACTATTAATTTTCGATAAGATAAAGTGAAAAAAAAGATAAACAAAATTAATATTTAATTTAATGCAAAAAGAAAACGTTTCGAGTTTCTACGAGTGGGACATGTGAGCTTGTGAAGGGGGCTTACATATAGCATGACGGTTGACCAAAGTAGCCATTCAAGCTAGTTATCGTCATTAGTGACGTTTTATGTGTTTTGCAAACTAAGCTACAATAAAGTTTATTATAAAATTTACACCAATATATAAATTAATTAATGAACAAAAGTTTAACCAGATGGACAATTGAAAGAACATTTGGCATAATTAGTATTTAATGAATTAGTTAATTATTGTGTTTAATTAATATGTTTAAGTTAATGAGGGAGTGGGCCCTCTTGTTAGAGCTGGATACGCCCATAACCATAAATTTCAGAATTAAGATGCAGACTTATTTGAGACCGGTGTTTTTCCTAATTCATACATACTTGATACTGAGTACGTAAAGTCAATGGAGTTTAAATTTATTAAATGTAAGTTTATTATTTCCAAGTTGGTTTCAACGTCCAATAATACTAAGTTACACTAACCATGGTCGATAGATATATAATATTCCTTATGTTGTCGCAATAAGCAAGATTGCAAGAATAGATGACAGTTGTTATTTGTGTCCTCTTTATATTTGTCGACATATAATTTTAATTAGATGTGGTAATCAGGTCATTTAACTCTTATATGAGTTAAGTAATTTTGAATTTACTATGTCTTCAGATTAGGTCAGTTCGGGTATATTCAAGTCAATTGATAATCGGGCCGGGTTGAGACTTCGAGTTGAGACTTTAGGTTGGGTCATTTTGAGTCATTCGTCGAGACTTTGGATCAAGTTCGAATCGGATCATTTTGTTTTAAGTCAACCTTTGAACATTCGGATAATTACTAGAGTTGATCGTTTCGATATTAGATGAACTCAAAATCAATGTAAAATAAACTAAGCTCACAACTATCCACTCTAATTGTTAGAGTATTAGAATTTTTAGAGGGAGTGTGTGGTAGCATGTTTAAAAATAAGAAGGCCATGAATATATCATGATTTATGCATGTAGGCCTTTACTTTATCTTTTCGTAAAACAAAATTCCTCAATTTCATCAAACATGATTTCTTCCTCATGCATTTCCAAACAGGATAATACCTCTTAATTAAACATGTTTATCAATTATCACTCTTCTAAATTTACATTCCTTTTTATATTAATTGCAATATTGCGTATGCATTTATCTATTTAAATTATGTTGTGCCAATAATTTACATAGATAAATAAAACGTGATTTATTGTACGAGAAAGGAGGGGGAATGAACTAAATTGCATATATATGCTATTATTACTTTAATTTATTGGATGTCTATTCTATGATGATCATATGCTTGCTGACTAATAATGAATGAAATTTTGTTCATCCGTGATTTGTGAGAAGCAACGCCCACTCGCCAAACAACATAGCATTGGGAACCAAATGGAGGATATTGCCACTCACCTTTCAGTCCTTTCAATCTTACCACTAACTAGTTTCTGTCATGTCATTCCCCCTCAATGGCCAAGTAGCTGAATAGTTCAGGCTAGTTTTTAGATGAAATTTTCAACCTTAACCCAACTCATTCGATTCAATTGATGATTGGATTAACTCATGTATTTAAATGGGTTAGTATATCAATCCAAATCCACTTATCTAATGACAAGTTATTGGGTCGCGTCAACTTTCACCAACCCTATATTCAGAGGTGCCAAGAAAAGCAAACTTGCTCACTAATGATTTGAAAGAAACTGACAAGTATAGATATTTACAAATCTAATGGAGAATTCAGTGATGAAACACCTTGTGGATAAGCAAGGAAAACCAAGATATTTAACAGAAGGGTTCTTGATTCTAAATAACAATGCACGATAAAAGATGAGTAAAATTACATTTGGATGATAGATGAGGTTCAGTAACAGGAACATACCGATATAAGTACAATCTTTAACCATTAAGATTGAATCCATGTCTCATTTGATATTCCAGGCTTTTTAACAGTGAAGCATGAGACTGTTTGTTCCTCTTCTTAATGGTGATCAGTTTGTCATAAACACACCAAGGAAAGCTAAGGAGATGATCCCGATTCGTCCCTTCATTATACTTGCCAAAAAAACTTGGGTGATATGTCACATGATACCAAGCTGATGCTTTTGCATATAGGTCGTCACCTTCTGAGTCATATTCGCTTTTATTAAACCATGCCCGAGCTTCCTTCCTCAAGGATCTGACAGCCATTGTTAAAGCTTCTGCATCGTTCCTTCTATCAAAGGACTTCGACATTCTCAAAATATTCCCACTTAACATTTCTGCTTCAGTGGTGATCCCGTAGTAATCCATTAGATTACCTAGCTTATAATCATATTGGCTCTTGTAAAACTCAGCATCATCAAGATGATCCTCAAAGCCATCATATTCCATGTCGGGATCATAGGAACGTGCAGCAATTTCTCTGGTGAATAATCTAATGGATTTTGAACTAGGGGATCTTTCCTTGACCTCCCTAAACAGCTTGCCGATAATTCTGTGTGATTCATAAGTTGGCTTATCGGGCTTTTCCATGAAATCAGGGTATTCTTTTACTTTGAGGGAAGGTGGCGTAACTGCAGGGATGCCAGTTTTGGGGAAGTCAACAGCAATCGAAAAAAGTTGAGCGAGCTGTATGCAAGGGCTACTCATTGCCTTCGCATGCTCCCTATCTGCGAAGGCTGTGTGTGCATTAGCAATCCTGCCTAAGCTGTCGTTGATTATATAGTTGGTGAAATAATCAATCACTTCCTGCACATCAATAACATATACCCCTATGATATAAGTTAAGCACAGAGGAATACAGTTACTCAGCTACTCAGACAAACATCTGTCATGACTCATGAGCACAGAATAACAGGTAAGCTTTAAAACAAATGTTTATAGGAAAATTATATTAGATCTGAAACCTCCATTACTCAACAGCAGAAGTAAGAGAGATTTATTACTGATTCATCAGCAGAAATACAGATATCAATAGCATCAACAAGGTCAAGAAAAAACAATGGTGTTATCTTTATACTGATTTACTCGTAGTTGAAACATACTAGTATATCTTTCTGCATTATTTCATTTTCACCCTAAAGTATTCCAGTCACAAGGTGCAACATTTAATGTATCAGGTAGCCATTCTATCAGGATATGCAACAGTTTATATATTGGTATTTATGTGGTTTGCAATAAGTAAATATACAATCATCAATAACTAAACCTCAAAAATGGATGTATTTCCCATTATCTGATAAACTAGCATATAACATATAGGGCTTGATCAGAGAGATTGTAGTGCAAATGCTTACGAATAGCAAATTAGAAGTCTTAAAAGCCTAACACAAATATATAAAGTAGAAAGTATCAGAGGCAAAGAAAACACCTCCATGGTAACATCATGATCCAGTATAGTGCTTTCAGCAGCAGTGTAATCCATAGGTTCCTCTTGACGAGGGGGTATCAGCTCAGCATCCCAACAAACAAAGTATATATCACCATCCAAATCACTTCCAGAGCATTCATTTGGATGAGGCCTGAAATTTACATTAATGTGCAAGGAAAGCATATCTGAGAATAAATTTCTAAGTCACATCCCAAGCCATGTGGCATCTATTCTTTGCAATAGCTTATATCTGTTGATCAAATTAATGTTTACTTCGATTGCTTTTAATGAACTATAAACTACTAATCATGCTTGGAATTGTGAAGAAAAATAAATGAGGATGGAAAAATAAATAAACTACTTTGATCATGTTCTTGAGCAAGAAAAAAGGAAGCTTAATTCATAGATAAGGAAATCATGACAGCTAATAATTAATCACACTTTTGAGCAGCAATAAGATCCCCGGCACTGTTTCACACTAACAGCATATGCAATTCAGAATCAATTAAAGACAACCACAAATCTGCTAGAACTGAACAGATGTCTTGACAATAAAGTTTGAGATAGTGGAGAATAAAGTAATGCATATACCTCTTTCCTTTCTGTGGAAACACAACACAGTCAACCATGTGACACAAAGCAGGCACGTCTACTGCCATCAGAACACGGACATCACCAGGATGTAAACAAGGGTTCTTCGCAACAACTACTTTTCCCTTCACAACATAGTTATTGGGTTCAAATTCATAGTCAGTGCTAGTGAGGAGTTCATTACCGACATTCCTAAATCTTGAGCCTGAAACCTGCACAAACACCTGACCATATTCCAAGATTTTAGTTTCATCCAGACATCCCATCATTGCTCTACCACGTGGGACAAATATCCTTGATTTGGTCAGCAATTCTTGCAACTTTGCAGCCCGAAAAGTTTGCAACATCATTGAAAGGAATGGTTCGCCATCAGGCTTGTAGCCACATTTAAGCATTTCATTGAGAATGTTTGTAACCTCCCCAGGACACATGAGCTCCAACGCTTCTTGTGCCTTTAGTGGATCTTTTAGGATTGCATCTAGGTTATTTAGTGCTTCTCTTTGCTTTTTCTCAAATACACGATCTTGCACTCCAAGAGTGGACAAGAGAGTAATTATCTGGCGATTCATATAGCATGCTTGATATTTACTATATCCCAGTACATCAAGTTTATCGTTATCTGATTTATACTTGAGCATGCTTTTTCGCAATGACAACTTCTTAGATGACAGGGGGTCAATAGCGACGACACCCTTAAATCCACCATATCTAATCTGGAAGGCAGACGGGGTGGAGCTGTAACCACATTTTTTTGCCACTTTGCAAGCAAAATCAGCTGATATCTTCCCAATTCCATCTGAAAAGATGTATGTATTTCTCCCAGCAATTACTTTCACATCAGGTATCATTTCAACTTCCTCGATAGGAACAATTAGAGTCTCTGTGGATGAGCCGAAAGATTGACCAAGTCTGGCAGCATACTTTGCAACATTTCTTATTTCTCTAAAGTCACCCATCCAATTTCTGATGTCTGTGGCAGACAATCCAGGCCTAGAAGCAAACATCCATGCAGAGTTTTCCCTCAATTGGCTTGATGAAAAGGCCAATAACTCGAACTTCTTATCACCAATACGTATTCCATTGCTGAGAACAGAACGAATCCTTCCATCGATCTCAGTCCGCTTTCCGGCACGTGGAGATAAATCTGTTGAGTATAATTTTTCTAGATTCTCATCAACAAAAGAAATGCGAAGGAAATTATCAATGTCAGCAGGATAATTTCGCAACACCCGATTGGAAACATTAACCTCTGGGCCACAAAAGTACACTCTAGATGGAGTTATTTGAACTCTGCGTACATAAACCAATCCTGCATCCAATGAAAGGGTTGGCTTCCCAGGACTTCTCTTAGATGTAAGGTATTTTGTGTACTGCTGTCTTAGCCACCCAACTGGATTGTAGCAGCACTCCTTCAGAAAATACAGATTTTCAAGTGCATACTCAATAAGAGCCATATCAAATCTCCTCGGATCAACCATCTGATAGAAACTCTGGTCAAGGTTTGGGCCAGGAAGACACCCAGATTGAACCAAATTATTTACCTTAAACAAGATATTAAATGGTAAATCAACCCCTCTTGGAAGAACCACTATTGGAACAAGTCCCATGTTGTGGGAGAAGGTACTGCCATTTTCTATAGTAAATTGGCCATCATCCTCCTTAAAATATGCAAAGTTAGCTCTGAAGTCTGGTAGTTGGCAGTTATATGGAAGCTCCAAACATAAAAAAGACGACTGTCCTATACAACTTAAGGAGGTGAAATCTGTTGTCCTGTCCCATTGATCCTCTTGTCCGTCCTTATAATAGTCAAAGGCCAGTCCTAAAGAGCATGCATCCTTCTCGTATATCCGAGGAGCCCCAAACAGCTGAAAAATTCAAAGTACAGATCTAAAACTATCATAAATTTCCTCAATTCATTATAACCAACAGGCTACAAGTAATCAAGGAGGAAAAAATAGAAGATACAATCAAAACCTACATATATATGTATGTCATATTCTCCGTTAAGTTAGCAATTAAATTAGCCAACAGATTCTTGAGTTTTGGCTGCATGTGCTGACCATAAGAGTATACAGTCAACTGTTTGCTCAAAGCCTCAAATGGTATTATGGGGATGTGCTGGGAAATAGGTCAAGCTTAGCACAAAATATGAACAAAGTTTTGAGGACAAAGAGAGCTGCCACTTGCCTCTGTCCAGGAACAGAGAGCTATATGCAGCTCAATTTTGGCCAAGAAACTAGAAAAAAAAAATCCAATGCCAACAAAATTGCCCTTTAAAAAATTTTACTTTGTATTGTATTACCACGGATGTAAGGTGCACCTACGGATACAGCTAATATCTTATGAGGCAATGAATTTAACAATCTAGAGGGGACAAGAATTGTCAAGGTTGAACCCCAAAGGAAGGGCATGCTTCCAATGCACCTCGAAACCTCATAGAAGCTAACTGTTTACCAATTTTGCCAAGCATACATCATAATTGTCATAAGATCACTTTTTCCAGATGTAAGAAAATTTTGTTAAAAGATAACCAGGATAGAAACCAAACCTGAATTAGAAGATACTTCAAATGATAACCACGTGGACGTCTTAGCTCAATCTGCCAAATACTCTCATAAGAAAGTTCAAGTTTATATTCCCTAAAGTTATATTCTAAGGAGAAGTATAACTTCCTCAATCCTGAGCCAAATGATAAAGAAACATCCTGAGCTCTCCAAAATGCTCTGAACTTGTCATTTGAAGTCTGACATCCAACATGAAGAGTTATGTTGTCCATTTTATGTTGATTAATTCTTGGCTTGGGCACAATATCATTTTCCGACTCTCGTACCTTCAAGTAATTGGAACCATACCAAAGTTTCTTTGGAGGTTGAGAGAGACTGAGGATAAGACTTGCCATCCTGGCAGAGGTGAATTGCACAACAGCAAAACATCTTGACCCACCATTTTTAAACTGCCTTAATTTCAGAGCATAAACAGTTTCTTTGCCAGTTATATCCTCCAGATATGCGGTGATATTTTCAACAGTCACAGTAGAAGGAAAACCCGACAGGTGAAGTGTCTTACCCATGATGTTGAGCTAAATTAATCAATATTACTGCAATATGCCAGGTCAGGGATTACAATTATACTCAAGAACAATTTTCATGCACACAACAACAAAGAAGTGGAATACAAGTTTTTCCAAAAACTACAACGACCTCAGCACTACTAGAGTCAAAGATATTGACTCAATAGAAATAAATGCAAGTGGTTTGCATTAGCATAGGGCAGTCAGCCAGATAATTTAATTTGATTACCAGAAAGTCAGCAAATTGGATTCCGATAACAAGATAATTGAGGAGAAGGAAGGCACTTTAATGCTGCTAAGAGTTCAAAAGGACAGTTTTATGTCTAACATTATCTCACTCTTAGGAGCATGATGATTGAGAAACATAAATCTAAAAGCGAACATGACACTTCAGCTAGTATAGATCTTCTGCTATGATGATCATGCTTTTCTATCACTGAACAAGATAGTTACAACAGCCATATACAATTTTAACTGAATAACTGAATTTTTTTTTTGGTTGATCAAAGATTGAGAAGGGGAACAAAATTACTACTGAAAAAACTTAAGAATGTTTTATCCTCGTATACATGAGGTGAAAGTGTATCCGACTTCCAAGTATATCAGTATGAAGGTACCTGAAACACTTCCAATCACTGCTTTAATAGGTAAACCGTTTACTGGACATCTTTTGATGAAATAAAAACTCTGTCCATTTGAGTTATTTGCTTACATAAGCAACAGAATTAAGGAAAAGGCCTTTACTTAGCAGAAAGGGAGACATTTTCTTTGTAGGAAAGAAGGCATTTCCACCAGACCATAACAAGATTTCAAACAAATGAATCTCTGATCAGAAACATCTGAATTACATAGTTCATCTAAGTGAAATTAATGAACAGCTATATCAAATTTTATATTATTTAAACTACTTAAAACATGTCAATTTATTCCGATAATAATCACCACTGCCAACAATGTCAATTTATTCTCATATTATCATATCACAATATACATTTATATCTCAACAGATTATCTCATTGATATATGATATACAATGATTTTTAGTGACATATTACTATTCAAACATTAATACAACCCCAACATATAATATACCTTGATTGTAAACAGAAAAATGAGATATGTCAGGGTTAGCCCTTGATGCTTATTTTTCCCATTTAATCCATTTTTTCTTCTAATATTCTCTGATTAAATCAAATATCTATATATTAAAAAAAATTATGAAAATGTAAGGAAAAAACCACATTAGGAGACCTCCTTAGTCCTCACGAGGGAAACACCTAATGCATCTACTAGTCTTGCAATTTTTCCATACTCTTAACAGTGTGTTTGGATAGATGATTGAGAAAGAAAAGAAGGGGAGGGGAGGGAAGAATATGAGTTTTTCTTCCAAATCAATTTCTTACAATTTAATCCCTCCATTTCTCTCTCCTTCGATTCCCTCCCTCCCTCCCTCCCTCATTTGTTATCCAAATGAAAGATTATCTACCCTCTAATTCCCTTCCTATTTTCCCAACATTTCCTTCAATCCAAACAAAGTGTAAGTTACGAGCAATTCCGGATTTCAAGTAACTAATAGTACTCCCTCCGTCTCTTATTAATTATTACTCCATATATTTTGATTAAAAAAAAAATTACAAAGCATTAAAGCAGCAAAACCAACTTAAGATCATAGAGTAGGTTTTCGAATATGCTAAATACTTTAAAGGTAAAATAAATATACAACGATCATGAATAATTGAATTTCAACCTTACTAAATCAAGTTAAACCATCTTATATAACTTACCCAAAACTAACAGGGTTACAGAATTTATGTCAGTCAACATCAATAAGAATCAAAACCCAAAATAAAATTCTATCAAAATTGCGGTAAATAGTAAAAAAAAACCATAAAATCTTAAAAAATCCAAACCCCAATAATCTTGCATTAAACCCCATTAAAATGACAAAACCCAGAATTAAAAAGATGAAAATGAAAGAATTGTTACCTTAATCAAGAATCAGAAAAACTGCAACGATCATTTGGAGGAGAGAGAAAGATCGAATTGTGGGAGTGAAGTGGGAAGAAGAGAGTGAGGAGTATTATGATCTTTGGTCTCCAATATAGTTGTCATTCGTCAACGTCAAGGTCAATTTTATTCTTTTAAATTTTTAAAGACTGAAGAATAATTCTTTTCTTCTTCTTTTACTTTAGAGATGTGTAAAAATGAACCTAATTATTTGATTTACATTGTTTTCCTCGTCTTTTCGTTTCATTGGTTGTGTGTTTTTCGGTTGTTTGGTAACGATGTTTTTAAACTTTAGTTACTTTGGATATTAAGGTTTTGTTTTTTTTTTTTTTTTTTTTTTTTTTTTTTTGAAGGGATTAAGGTTTTGTTTAGTTCAACTTATTTTTACTTATTTCAGAAAAAATATGTTCAGCTTAGATCACCTATAGAAAAAATAAGTTCAGAGCAGATCACCCTCAGAAAAAATAAGTTCATATCATATCATCGTTTTATGTGCTATTTTTTATCGTTAAATATCTTTAATTTCGTAATGAAAAAAATTATGAAAATTACATATTAATAAAATTCACATTATTACGAATCTAACAAGATCTCACTTGATATATTTTTTACTTACAGATTATCATACACTTAAGGTCAAAGTTTCGTCAAATCAGACAATAAGATCATTTCAATTCACACCAGATCAGATAAGTTCAGATAAGCAAAAATAAGGTAAACTAAACAGAGTCTTAAATCTAATATCATATCATATCATATCATATCACAATTAAATAAAGTCAGTCTCGCAATCAAGCCACGAGACAGCGACACTTGGCATTCCAATTTTTCACCAAGTGTCGCGCCACGTAGGCGACAAATAGGTATTATAAAAACACATATGATGGTAAGTAAGCGATTTTTTAATAGATTTTTTAAGATAAATTGTTGTATAGAGTTTTATTATCGACATACTTCTAAAATTTCATATATACAAAATTAATCATTACCTTCAATAAATATCCTATAACTCGGTTTTAATTCCATAATAAATTCGTTTCAAAAATTTCTTTAAAAAAGATCCATTTATAACATATATAATTTATTTACGAAAATAATCGAGTATCAGTGAAAATAAGTTTTAATTAAGAAAAATAATTTTAGTTTTCGTAAAAATACTTTCAATTTAGTTAAAAAAAATTCCGTAAAAATAATTTAAGTTCAATAACAATAATTTCAATCAATAATAACATAGATATCTATTTACAAACAAAACTACAAAAAGTACACTATTTTATAAATAAGTGATAGGATATCGTATGTCTAAATTTCTTGCATTATCGAAAGGGATTACATGACCGTATTAATGAACATTCAAGCCAAAAAGTTTATCCTAATTAAATTTTTATGAATAATGCGGGCATCGCCTGAGCACAAAACTAGTGACCGGTCTCGCAGCCAATCCACGAGATAGCGACACTTGGCATTCCAGTTTTTCGCCAAGTGACAAGCCACGTAGGCAAAAATTAGGTATTATTGTGACACATATGATGCTAAGTAAGCGAATTTCGGATAGATTTTTTAAGATAAAATTGTTGTATAGAGTTTTAATGTCGATATACTTCTAATATTTCATATATACAAAATGAATCATAATTTTAATAAATTCTAATAACTCGGTTCTATTTCCATCATAAAATTCGTTTTAAAAAATTCTTTACAATAAGATCAATTTATAATATATTTAAAATAATTGAGAATTAGTAAAAATAAGTTTTAATCAGTAAAAGATACTTTCTGTTTAATAAAAATAATTTAAGTATGATATCGCATGTCTTAATATCCTGCATTATCAAAAGTGATTATATAACTGTATTTAACATTCAAGCCAAAAGGTTTATTCTAAAATTCAATAAACAACATGGGCATTGCCCAGGCACAAAACTAGTCACTAATAAATAAAGCCGGTCTCGCAGCAGGCCACGAGACAGCGACACTTGGCATTTCAGTTTTTTGCCAAGTGTAGCGCCACGTAGGCAAAAAATAGATATTATTGTGACGTATACATATGATACTAAGTAAGTGAATTTTTTATAGTTTTTTTTAATATTGTATAGAGTTTTATAATCAATATGCTTCTAATATTTCATATATACAAAATTAATTATAACTTTTGATAAATATCCTATAACTCGGTTCTATTTCAATCATAAAATTCGTTTTAAAAATTTCTTTAAAATAAGATTCATTATTAATATATTTAATTTATGTATAAAAAAAAAACATAACTTCAGTAAAAATAATTTCAAGTCATAATAACATAGATATCTATTCACAAACAAAACTACAAAAAGTGGACTAATATTTAATTAAATATGTGATATGTCATCATATGTCTAAATATCTTACATTATCAAAAGGGATTGTAGGACCATATTTAACATTCAACAATCTAGGCATCGTCCGGGCACAAAACTAGTATATATATATATATACAAAAAGGAGTTTTTTTCCCGAGATTTTAGAGCGCCACTTAGGATTTTAATTTTTGAAAAATTATTAATTAGAGCGCCATGTAGGATTAATATTTTTAAAATGCTACAATATAGGATTATGCCACATAAGATTAGTTATTTTAGAGCGCTACATAGGATTATAATTTTAAAAAATGCCACGTAGGATAAATAGTTTTAAAACGCTACAATAGGATTGCCACGTAAGATTAGTTTTTTAAAGCGCTACATAGGATTACGATAATAAAAAATATCACAGCGACACATAAGATTATTATTTATTATCATAAATAAAATTAAATGATTTCTTTGGGTGATTAATGAAATCAACATTATGATAAATTTTTACAAAAATGACAATTACGAATATCAATATTATTATTTAGATATAGGATTAATGGAAATTAAAGGGATCAAAGTAAGGAAATATCAATTATTAAGCTAGCATATTCAACCTTTAATCAAAAGTGAAAATAAAATAACAAAAAATGTTAACTCAGAAAAATAGAAAATTATGTTGTTTGTAAACATACGATAAGAAATTAGAAATTTTCAAATTTTTTTGTCAAGGAAATTTCAAATTAGAGATAGAGCGTCACATAGGAAAATATTATATTTTAGCCAACGGAAAAAAAAATTGCATTTTATTTTAGATCTAAACTTTTATATTAATTATAAAAATAAAATCAACGCCTTTTCTGTGGGCCAGCCATATCGTGTGGCCGACTGAGACACACTAAAATATTGGTTGGATAACCCCTGACCGTCCGAGTATGTAACCTTTGATCGATCGAGTAATCTTTGACCAACTGAGTAACCCCTGATGAAGCAATCCCAGCCACACCATGTGGCCAGCCACATATGAAACTTTGTGAAATAAAATATTATTTTTTTTATATCAAGAATATTATCTAAATATGAGAAACAAAATTTATAATTCATTTTATAATAAAAAATTCAAGTAGTAAGCAAACGAAAATCACAAAGTTTAGCAAATAAATATATTTTTGGTAAAATATATTATCTGAAAAAAAAAACAAACAAACCGTACATCGAGCGGGCTTCATCTAGTTTTTAACTATAGTTAACATTAATTAATTAATTTTAATTTGTTTAGAAGCTCTTTAAGGTTTTGGGACTTTACAAATGGCATGAGGGGATTCGTAGTATTGTTATTACCATTAAGCATAAAGCATAATGCATGTATCACTAAGACCCTGAATTTCATGTGGCAAACCATAAGATTCACAAATTGTACAAGCTTTGATTCTTGACCGATTATCTAATTACTTATTTCAAATCAAACTAAAAAAAAATAAATAAATATTCAGGTCATACTTCATCAAAAAAATGACAATTGTTGCCACAACACGAATGAAACAGGCACTAGATATACACAAAATTGTTGAAAGAAAACATAAAGTCGACACAACACAATACGAAACTAATCTAAACAAGACCCGTTAATCAAATTAGTCAAATATTTCAATTATTTTATATTTAATATAATTTTTTTAGATTTTGTGAACACCACAAAATGAACAATAGTTGAAACACGAACACCACACGATTCAACTTTTTAACAGCTTTGCTTTATCATTTTACTATGTATTTACAATTTTTTATCACTAAATATCTTTAATTTTGTAATCAAAAAAATTATAAAAATTGCATTTTGTAAACATACATTAAAAAAAAATCAACTTTTAGTCAAATTAGGAAATTAGATTAAATCACAAAAATATTAGTTCAGTTAAGATCAAAAAATAAATTCAGATCACATTAAATCAAATCAGCAAAAATAGTTCCTAAAACAAAAGCAAATAATAAGGTGAACTAAACAATAACATAGACATTCTTTCAAAAAAAAAATAAAAATAAAACATAGACACATAGTTTTACTCCCTTTGTTTTTTCTACGGTGAACTAAGGAAATTTTGTCTAATTTACCTTTAAAATAAGGAAAAATTCATGGGAATAATCCCACCTTTGGGTCATTCGTTTTTAATAATCCCACCTTTGAGTTATTTTTTAATAATCCGACCTTTACCCCCATTCTTTTTTATTGGTCCCATTTTACCTGAAACCGGTTGAGGAGGTAATTTTTTTTTATTAATGTACACGTGTCACAATTTGATCTGTCTAAAATAAAAATAAAAAAGAAAAAAAAAAGAAAAAAGAAAAAGAATTAAAAGTCCCCAAAAAATATCAGACTCCTTAATCCCCCCCTCTTCGATTCATTTTTGGCTGCTCTAATTCATTCATCATCATTCAATCATCATCGACCATCATCTTCACCATTCATCACCTTCAATCAGCTACATCATCAACAAGCATCAGCAAAATCTCTGCCTTTGGATTAATTAAAGGAATCGTGGCCGTCCAATTTCATTAATTTGTACAATTTCTCACGCGAAAATGGAGCAGATGCTCATACCATTCGAAGCTACCGCTCTGAACTTCCTGTCTCAAAGTTGAAAACATTGAACAAATAGGAGTGTCCGCTTCGATATAGCTGAGCGCCTGCTCAAGAGTCCTTGATTCTTTGGCTGAATTGGGGCATGGGTGTTGTTTCGGGTGAAAACAATGGGACCTTGCCGAAGGTCCGTTGAAATGGAGAAGACTGGATTCGGTCCAAGTTGTGTTGGGCCGAAGGTTTCCTGCACAGTAAACACACGTAAACTAGCCTCGGGGGTGTTTCCGAGGAAGGCCCCTCCGATGCTAAAGTCAATACAATGTGTAAAAGGAAGGTACTATGCAAGAGAGTTTGTAGCTTGAGGCTTTTGTGGAATACTTCTGAATGCAAGAATGAGCATATCAATCAGAATATCAATATGAACGTCAAT